TCATACAAACTACAACAAGTAAATAACACTTATCTCTAATTTCTCCCCAAGAAAACTCCTCAAAGTTCCTCTGATACTCTTTCTTTCTTTACAACACACATAATTTCTCTTTGAAGCAGCAAGGAGGAAGAAATCTCTCAGTTTCCCTCCACTCTTACAATCTCTTGAAGAATTCCTCACAATTTAGACTCTCTACATTTTCCCAACACTTAACACACACCTCAGAGCCTCTCTAACATATAGGACCTCTCCAATTTTTGGTTAAAATCTTCTTTTAAAGTTGTGGATGAGTTTTCATGAGAGTTGCCTAAGCATCCCTCCAAAATTCATCCTCATCCAATGCATTGTTGGACATAACCGCCGAGCTCACCGTCGGTGGACGAGCTCCGCGTCGGTGGCCGCGAGGGCGTCGTCGATGGCCTCGAGGGCATCGTCGGTGGCCTCAAGGGCGCCGTCGATGGGACTTCTAAGTGAATTAAATCTGGAGTCTCGGAAAAATTCTGTCGTCGACGCCGTTGGGCTCGGCATTGGCGCCCTAGTTAAAATCTTCACATTTTGGTCCTTTTCGCTCCAAATTCGCTCCTTTTTGCATCTTTTTGCTTCAATGACCCTAATTCATCATTCCTACAACAAAACATCAAAAATACCTTTCTTTAAAGTGCAATATTATCAAAAATAGTATAAAATAGTTATAAAAATCTCAACATATTTTCCTCTGGTCAGAGGCCACCAGGGGCAACTAGTGGGTGCCTTAGGTTGCTTATGTAGGTGCCAACAAGGTGCAAAATCCAATTGGGATGAGACAGCGGTTTCAATTCAGAAATACTATAAGTTTGATTTAGATAAATACCATAGTGAGATTTTCAGAAAAAATTCAAGTAATTAAATTAACTCTGTAGCTACAAGATTATCTAGTCATCAAGTTTAAGAGTTCTAATCTTCTATTCATTTCAAGAATGACTATATGTTGCAATATTAAGTCACTTAGAATAAAGGATAGGAACTTCATGAGAACTCTACTAGTAAAAGATTAATCCATAAATATAAGTTTTAAGAATGCATTTAGGTTTTCCCTTTAGGTAGGTCCAGTGGGTAGGCAATATTTCAAAAAGAAATGAAATGCTTTTAAAATTCACTTTGGAAGTTAAAATTGTTTTTGCTTGGGGATCGGATTTTATGGGACCATTTATACTTTCATTTGGAGGTATATATATATATATAAAAAGAACGAAGGTGGCAGCTGGACCTAGCTGTGCTCTGCTAGGGTTTCGGCTTTGATGGAGATGCCTGATGTTACTGTGGAGCTTCCTAAAGGAGTTGGATTTCTCTTTAAGGGGTTCCTTAGGCTTAGTTTGATCCTCCAGCACTGTTTCCTTTGGTCTTGTTTGGGGAAGCTGAGGTTTTTCTGCTGTTTTTAGAGAAGGAGTTACTGTTTCATTGGTTAGCTGAAGCTGCTAGCCTTCTTCTTCCATTTTAGCTGGTGTTTGTTTTGGCCTGGGGTCTATCTCTGCTGTGTCTTTTGTTCTTTCTGTGGTTGGGCTTGGTTCTAGCCATCTTCCTTATTTTCCTGCTTCTTGCTCTTTCTCTGTCTTGGGGGTGCTGGTTGGTGAACCATGTCCACCCCTATTGATCTGGACACTAATTTGCAATGGACTAAAACCACCTATGTTGAGGTGGTAGGAAATCCCTCTTCCTCTTTATTGGTCTAGTCTTCCCTCGGGAATTTCATAACACTGCTGCTCAGAAAGGTTCTGTCTCTTGCATTCATCCAGTGGGCTCAAAAGATGGGGAACCAGCTACTATTTTCTCTGAAAAGGAGATTGCAAAGGAGATTGCTGAGGTTCAATTTACTCTAATTGGGATTTAAACTTGGAGGTTCAATTTACTCTAATTGGGAAATTCAGCTTGGGCCACCCAAAGATGGAACTTTTTTGAAAATATTTTGACTTCTTGAAAATTTCAGAGTGGAAGCTAGGTCTGCTGGATGGCAGGCATCTACTAATCCAGCTGACAAAGGAAGAGGACTATGCCAAAATATTTGCCAAACAATCCATCATCATAGCTGGAACAGAAATGAAAATTTTAAAATGGTCACCTGATTATGACCCATCCCAAGAACCTCCCACAGTGCCTATATGGTTTAAGCTACCTAAATTTCCATTGCACCTATTTAAATTGAATGCCTTGTTTAATATTGGGTGCACCTTGGGTACACCTTTGAAGGTAGATGCTGCCACTTTTAATAAAGCCAGACCAGCCAGTGCAAGAATCCTAGTGGAAAGAGATGTTACTCTTCCTGATGTCAAGAGGATCTGGATTGG